TCACAGGGATTTACTTCATTAAATCGAGAGTGAGACCTTTTGTCAGTGAATCATCCATTCCCTTGTAAAGCAGAGCGTGCTACTTGTCTGTATTGCACAATTAGTAATACACACACAGAGACTTAGGTACTTTTCAGGACAAAGGCAGAATAATAATGGTTATAGGTATAGATGGATATATATAATATATAATTTAAAACTTTATTTTAAAACTTTGCGCATACACTTCTTCAGCATCCTCCTCTTTTGTTCATTGCACTGAAAAGTTTCAAAAAACACAAAATATATCCCTTTACTAAACATTTTTTTGTTCTTAGGTTACAAAAAGATTAACATTTCACAGTCACAAAGCAGAAGTACATTGGTCCAAAACATCTTCCTCCAGCAGGTCCTCCATTCTTCAGGACATATAAAACCTAGACAGTTGTACAGATCTCAAAACAAGGTGACTTGTCCAATGAAGGAAAGAAAAAGGTGGCAGCTATTAAAAAAAAAAAAAAAAATCCCAAACCAAAATAAGACACCTACGAAAGACCACCACCAGCAATGGTTAAGAAAAAAAAAAAAAAGAGAGAGAGAAAGAAAGAAAAAGGAATGAGAGTGGAGGCGGACAAGGGCACCCTCCTTCAAGTACATCACAGGTAGAAATACAGCAGCACAGTTACAGCATCGTTTGGTCACTCTCTCTATGGCAGCCACATCACTATATCTTCATCTAAGACACATGGAGGAAAACTATTTACATACCAAAAACGTTGGGGAGGAACAACAATTCCACACAGTTTGCAATTCATGTTTGATACAAAAATGTTGAAAGTATTTGTGCATAAAATGTAAAATAAAAGCAAAACACCGAGGCAGGAAGAAACACAGCAGATTTGCTTGGAGTGTGTAGTGTTCTTTAAAAACCTAGCAAAAAGTTCAAAGCCGAAATCTGCCCAAAACATCAAGTGCAGTTCTTCAAAAATATCCTGGAGGCACAGAGTCGACCGTACCTCACAGACCTCTCTTGTCATATTTTAACATGGAAGTAACTTTAACATGGAAATCCACTGCTAACAGCAGACTCTGACCACTTTTCCTTTAGCTTTTTAGCCCTGTTGTATCTTAGAATTTATGAAAAAAAAAAAAAATCTCTCTCTCCAGCATGAGGCCACCGAACATCAGCCCTCTCAGACAACATGCTTTTGTGTTCATGAAGGAAGCATCATTGCATTAATGTACCAAAAGATGGTTGCATGCCTCACTTAAGGTGTAAACAAAATTTCTAACTACCTTCTTCATCAAATTAAACGAAGATTTTAGGCTGTAGTGCAAGAGAAAAATGTCCGAAATGGCTGTACTACCTTCCGCAACAGCATTCACTGGAGAATGGTGGAAGCCTCTTGGTTTCGAGTTTCTAGAAGTTGGACTGGACTAGGCACCAGAAGACAGTGCTACACTGCACTGTCGGCTAACCTGAACTATGTGGCATACGGTTTCCTTTCCTCGCCGTTGTCCGAGGAAGGACAAGAACTTGCCTGACTTTCTAAGCAGTGTCTACGTACAGGCAAGGACACAGCACTGTGCAAGAGCAGTATGAATACGGATGTAACTCAGGACTGAGGTTCCTTGCTACTGAGGCTTAAACAATTTTGGATACTAAGGGAACTTGACTGGCAAAAAAACCCCATAGTGCTTCTAGCATCAGGCAGTAACTAAGATGACATGCCAAGGATCTAAAATTGGGAGTTGGTGCCTAACTTGCTCCAGTTTGAGGAGGCGAGCTGTCTGCTCCTAACACAGGAGCTTCACTGAGCCCTAGAGCAGCTGCAAGTCTGCACATAGCAATATCCATGAAAAATGGTACTGTGCGCCATGGATCCTCCCTGCCATCAGTGGTTTCTAATGTTGTGACTCCCAAAATAATTCAACCTATAAAGGGAATCGGAAATGCTTTTAATTGTTCTTGCTCCTCAAACAATACCTCCCCAATAAATGACTCCTGCCTCCTATTTATACGAGGCTTTGGTGGGTATATGTATTTATACCATGCCTTGAAGCAGAGCACGGACCACAGTGCAGGCACGTAAGAAGGTCCTAGTGAGCACAGATAGAAGTGAAAGCCCAAGTACTAACACAGCATATCAAAGAAGTACGCTCTAGGGAGGCAAGCATGTAATTGTGTAACAGATACTTTGTAAAAAAGCAAAACAAAAAGCATCACAGCACAGTTTCAGTCACATACATCTGAGTAGGAAGCTTTTTATTATCCTTTGAAGTTCTCAGAATTTATTAATTGATGCTAATTGATATTAATTGTGGATACTGTACTTCCACCCTTTCCAGGAGAGGGTGTGATAGCTAACACAACTCCACCTGGGCACAGCTGCTGCAGAGAAGCAGGCTGACTGACAGCAATACCTCAGATGACCAACAAACACATTGGAGGTTGATTCACAAAGCCATACCAGCGCCCACGAGATTTTGCTCTGAGAAGTCACCAGCCGGTTTGCTCCCACCAAGTCATGCACTCTGCTAACCCATCTCTCCAGGGGTATGTTTAAAAACACCGCTGAATGAGAAGGTGCATTTTCCATTGCCTTGAGATTACACTTTTAAATTTTGGCAAATGCTACACGGGAAATTTAGTTCCACCACATTGTACTCAGTGGTTTTATAATGACTGGTATGTGTATTGACACCACATTACCAAATAATGAAGACTACCAACGCGTGGGCACTGAAATATTTGACTCAGGCTTGTAGTTAGTACCAGCAAGCACCAGCTTCTTTGCTGTTCAGACGACTCCGCCGGAATTGCCAGCATTAGTTTCTTTGTGAAAGAGGATCTGAATTGCTAGAGGACTACACAACTGCATTTGCAAAGAGACAACAGGAGTTACACAGAGCATGAAAAGCATGTTTACAAGTTTATTAGGCCAAAAAAGAAAGTGCAAGAGAAGTTCTCTTGCTTAAACTTTAAAACATGTGAGGGGCCATGTGAAAAATATTCTAGACTCCAAACCTCTCTTTTCATCTAGCTGCACACAGAAAAAGAGGTAAAGGGGAAAAAAAAAAAGGAAAGAATAGATAAAGCATGACAACACATAATCAGATATGCCATTGATTTATGCTGAAGCTTTAGAATATAAAACATCCGTGTTCTGCACAGCTTTGTCACATGCAGGCACCGGGGAATGCACGGAACAGTTTTCAGGCTAAAACCATGCAGTTTGCTGCATGTTTGAGCCGTTACCCTGCATTGCCTCCTCTCAACCTGAAACTCCTACTGGGCCTAGAGACGTAGAGCAAGGGTAGTTTAAATCCACTGAGACTGTTGCACATGTACTTCCGGATGCAATCAAGCATCTGGGCAGCTATACTGCACACCCGCTGCATGGTGTTTACAGAGCACATTATAAATTACAAAACTGGCAAGCTCTAGGCCACGCCTGTTCAGGAGAAAGTCTGCAAAGGGCACAGCATCCTCTTTCTCCTTCGGAAAGGACGCAACATTTGTGAGCTGCTTAGTCAGTGCCCTACAATTATGTCAGCCCCCTATCTTTTGGCTATCCAAGAAGTACAAGCCAGATGAGCAGCTCCAAAATAATGTGGTCAGGGTGTAAATTAGGTTGAACTTGGCTCCCCAGCCAATATACCTGCCTATACACTAGAACCTTCTGAATTTTTTTCTTGAATTCCTGCCAATGAAGTAAGGGAGCTGCCTGCTTGAAGAACAGGCAGCCAGGTTAAGCTGCAGATTTGCTCAGTTGTTTCCCTCTTGGACTAATACTTTTACTCTGATAATGTTTTCTCAGATTTTCTTTATTTAAATTGATTCACCACTGCTAAGAAAAAAGCTGCTGAAGCTAGCCATGGGCTTGTATCTATCTCGGTGATCTTTTGATGCTTGACTACAGTCCTCAATACCAAGAGGACAAAGTTATAAGCTGTCACTTTCTGATCACCGAGTCAAGCAGGCAAAGGTATATTGAATAATAAGTGAGGCAGGAAGAAGTGAAACGACTTTTAAATAGATCACTATCTGGGTATCCAAATTGATAACGAGAACAATACCACCACTTCAAGTAGGAATCCAACAAAAAATACCCAAATAAATTTACTGAATCCCAACTGATGCAAAAGCTGTATGGTCAGGGATCCTTTCAACAGGATAAAGCAGGCAGAACCATTCAACGAATGAAAATCTCTGATCCCAAAGAAACCATGGCCTCCAGGTAAACATCACATAAAGTTGAGTTTCTGTGCTCTGTATAATCATGGTATACACACAACAGGGAATCTTGAGAAATAACTCCTCACACCAGAATAAATCTTGCCATACAGAACTGCGGACCTTTGCAGGTGGCTGTTTTAACTGCAGTAAATAGGCATAGTCACACTGAAAACAATTTCAGTTTTCCTACTGAAATACAGGAATACAGTCTACTGAAGAAGAGACAGGAGAGGAAAATGGGGGTTCGAAGGATTACACAAGTTTGAAGTTGTCCATAGGTAAGTCATGAATGCAACTTTCTGAAAGAAGAAAACTTGAGTCTCATATATGTATATATAGGTATTTTTAAATGAGATGTGACCCAAGTCACCTTCTGAATATTTGGGGGTAGATTTCAGGAGCCTCCTTGGCTTCTGATACCCACTTCTACTTTCACAACTGAAATGGCTCTTCCAAGCTACATGGTAAACTGAGAAGAAAATTAATTCCCCACCTGAAGGGATGACAGAATCCATAATATGCTAGCAGCATTTAAATCCCATTCCTGTTAAGCACCAAAACCATTTCTATAGGGAAACTGTAATCTCAAGGGTTATCTTTAATCATATACAGTATATGTGCAGAGCCCTACCTTTTGGGCAGAAAAATACCCCTCTCCAGCATTAGTTTGGAATAGATTATATCAACTGGAAGTGTCCTGGTCAGATCACCAAAACCATATTGTCTCTTACAGGCCCTTCCCCAAAAGATCCCCATCCTATAACCACTCTTGATGCTACTTTCACGACTGTTTGTTCCCATGTATTAAAGGGATGACGTAGACAGAGATGTCATCTCCAGAGCCCAGCCTGTCGTTGGATATTCGCCAGCCCCGGTCCTTCAGCACTCCCCTGGCTCGCATCACCAGGTCCTGCGCCGCCAGCGTGTACCTGTGGAAAAGGCAGAATACAGCCAGGGAGTGCTCGTCTTTGTGAGGAAAGTGGGTTTTCACAGCCTGCCAGGTTTACTGTTGTGAGCTACCAGGACAAGCTTCCCAGTGTTTTAGAAGCAGGCAGGAGAAATGCAAACCACGGCATACCCACAAAGCAACCCCTTCCAGTTCAGTGACAGCTCCTGCATCAGAATCTAGAGGTATTTGACAGGCACCAATCCATCAAAAAGTCACTGGCCATTTTGGGTGCCCGGCTTCACCAGTTTTCAGAAAAACGTTAAGACACTTGCCTTAACAAATTGGCTTTCTAGGAGCAGCCTGAAAAACTGAGGACCCTAAATAACACTACTTGCTGTTGAAAATGACACCTTGTTCACTGACACACCTGAAGGTAAACATGGCTCAACTATTTCAGAGACAAACTATAACAAAGAAAGTCATCTGAAAGCAAGTAAGAGAACACTAAAAATAGAATCCAAATTACACTTCAAACCAAGTAGACTAACTTGTCTGTTTTCCTTGACCATAAGAATGATTTTTAAAACTCTCTTATTCTGAAACTGGAGGAGGAAACTTACAGTTAATACAGACAGATTAACAAGAGTCCCACAGTCCTCTCACATTTATGAGTCCAATGAAAACTGTGTGAATGTGAGTTGTCGAGTGCTTATTTTAGTGAAATACTGTTTCGTGTTGCTTCAAAACTCCCAGCCTGTGCTGGGTTGAGCGGCATTGGATTTATGGGAGTTACTTTCTGTCCTGAAAAAATAACAGATGCTGCTCGGGGGCAGAAGGGTGTCAGAGTCCAAAAGGTGGTGCATGACACTGCTCCGTCATGTGCTCCAACATGTTCTCCCTTATCGTTTTACCTGCTGTTACTAGATCCACACATCTGTGTACTCATTTAGAAGTTTCCTTTGAAAGAAGTCTCATCATGGGTAAACAGCTACTGTCATGTGTTTTTCTTCATCAGTCCAACACCTGGCTGAGATGTTTTGAATTTGGTTGGGTGGAGGCAAGCTATTCTATGATTTGATAATTAAAAATTAATCAAACAGTTAAAAGATTGACAAGAAAAAACAGTTCAATATTGTGCCTGCCTGTGTTTTATTTGAAGCATAAGTATCAACCTCCAAGATGACTCTACGAAGCCACCAAAAGCAAAGCACACCTCTTGTAGTTTCCAGAAACCAGGAAGGACAAGACGGGTCTGCATTTCAAGACCCCCTTTTCTAGGGAGGATCCTTGGCCAGAAACGATCTGCCCAGATCTCATCTGAGGAAAGGGAAAGAACAGATCTCCATCAATCAGAATCAGTGGTGGTGGTGGGGAATTTATTAAGTGAGTATCCAGGATTGTTCTAGCCCCAGAAATTTTCACCGGAGAAAACATTATTAAATGGTAATTTCTATCACTACAGACTTTATTCACTCTCTGGGGATAAAAGAAGGAAGAAACCCCAATTATGTTCTGTTTCTACAATTTTGGTGCCGTAAAGTCAAATGACTCCTTTGAACCAGGAATAGATTTATTTGCTCTACTAGAAAGATTTCTTCAATGCAAATAAACCAACATTTGACTACCCAAAAGGTTTGATGTTAAATCCAAGTAAAGTTGTACAGAAGCAATGCACCCCCTGCTCCTAATGGTACTGAGTGGTAAAATTGCCAGCCCTCACTAGTTTTGACAAAAGATTTACTTTTAGCAATAAGAGAAGGGCCCAAGGCATGAACTCTAAGACGCAGGCTTGCACACACACATGCACACTGTCCGCAGGTTCAGAGATAAGTCTGTACCAATGACCTCGAGCTATAACAGCAGGATGTAACAAGAAGCACTGCCCGTCCTAATGCAACATGAAATTGTATTTTCTAAGGGGAAAACCCCCAAACATACATACTTGCACTCCCCTGCTCCCAAATCCCCAAATCAGATGCAGGGCTAAGGAACAAAAGGACTCCACGTGGCAAGCGAGAAACTGGAATATTTATTCACAGCATGTCTGATGCTGAGTGAATTTTGGCTAGAACATCTTTTCCAAGGATTTCTCAGCTATTGTCAGAATTTAAGAGAACACCCATCATTCTGGGAGAAAACTTTGCCTTCCTCCTTTTTCTAATTAACAAGGGCTCCCCACATCTAAAGAGTACAAAGGAATGACTATTGCTCTTGATTGTGTAAAGCTTTTGCTGCTTAATGTTTGGAGAGGGCAAGATGAGAAAAAAAAAAGGAATTTTAATAAACCAGAAATTCTCTCGTAAACAGGCTGTGAAATACACAAGAAAACCAGCACACTGAAGCAAAGGAAAAGGAACAGGTGAAGGCAGCAGCGAGGTAACATATTCCTCTCCTTGTACAGAGCTGAATTGGTGCGATGCTGTTCAACTTGGCACTAGAGGAGATAGGATGAGTCTCTTGTACCTGGAGATGAATAGCAGCAGCAGTCCATTACCAAATGCTTTATTCTCCAGTGCTGTGAACTTGGGATTCAGCTGTCAAGACAGCATTAGAGAACTGCTGAAGTAGTTTTAAAGTACCCTCTTCCTCCTAATGAACAGCCTCTCTGGAATACAACTTTTGTGTTTTAAGAATAAATATATATGGTTTTTTCTTCTGCTGAAGCTTTCAGTATTGATCAGTGAAAGTACTGCAGGAGAAATGGTGACAGTGGGGGAAACGTGCTGCTGTCTGAGCAGCTTCTTATCTTCTAACACCCAGCAGAGGTGGAGCAACTCCCCAGCATCCTCATAAATCTCTAGCTAGTGTGAGAGAGAGTGTGAGAGGGAACGAGAAAGGACAGGAGGGAGGACGAGAAATAAAAGATTCCCAAGGTCAGTGGGTAAACGTGCATAAGTGCAGCTGAAGGAAATGGGCAAGAGTCATGATTCTCTATCTTCATACCTCTTCAGAGAGATGATGTATGGAAAGCAGCAGTGCGTCACTACCACCTGTTCTTCACTCAGAGTCCCCTTCATGCTCTTGTCTGCCACAATACCCATAAGAAATGAGCCGGCTAAGAAATCCAGCTCCACCCCAGCTGCTTCACTCCATCACAGCCCTCATGGAGGAACTGTTCTCTAATCAAGTCTGTGCCCATCACCCGCTGCCCAAATCCCCTGAGGCTGTGTCTGCATGTCTGGGTGAAGGCAGACCAGAGGACTCTGCTCTCCCTGCACTTGAAGATGCCCAGGCACATGCTACGTTTGACAGGATTCAAGGATGTTTTTCTGTGGGTAACAAACACTCATAGTTCTGACAGTAAATATCAGCAGGAGAGAGTCCCCAAGAGCATTGCCAAGGGCTGTAAGCTCTTACCCATCAGGCTATAAAATGACCTCTAATTCAAACGGGAGGGATATTGTTCCCTCAAAGAGCTAATTACATAACAGATAAGTACTCTGCAACTCTAAAAGCTTCCTGCCTAGCTTTTTTTTTTTTTTTTTAAATATGCTGCTGTCAGGGAATAAGTAGGCTACTGGGTCAGGCAGAACCACAGTCTGCTCCACAGGTAGGTTTCTCCAGAAGACCATAGCATTACCAAACCCAGGGGGCAAGTCTCTTACATTCTGACAAGTTTTCTACATCCCTAGAGATTTCACATTTCCAGCTGATCACCTCACCACAGACTATGTCACTACACCCATCACAGAACCTGACGTTTTGTGGGATAACATTTCCTTTAAACATAACACTGATAATACAGCAAACAAGATTTTCCTGTCACTGACTAGTGAGAGGAATGAATGCAGCTCCACAGTCTGAGCTGCTATGCTATTGTAAATTCATTAGTTATACCTCATTTGGACCACTGTGAAGTAATTACATAAAACCTCTCACACAGTACTTTAAATCCTTTAAATATTCTTTACAACCAAGCAGCAAGAGCAGTTCCACAAAGGTAATTTTCATAAATATCATTGTAAACTATATGAGGGACTGCTCTAATTACCTTTTGCAAGCTGGTGTGAGAAATGTCTTGCCACCGCTATTTGTAAGCCTCTAAATGACCTGGCACAAAGTTACTTAAAAGAACAAATTAATTTTCAATTCGGATGTCCATTCATAGACCAGTAGGTCAAACACTAATAAATGTGTTTGTTCTAACTCGTAATACAGCAGGCCCAATTCTGGAGTGTGTTGCACTCATGCTGGCACAAACAGGGACTAATGCCCCACAGTTACTGAGGCTAGACCAGCACAAACGAATCTAAATGAAACAAAGAAAATATCTTTTTTTCCTTTAATGTCTGATTTCTATGAGTGTTTTTTAATGGATGAAAAATTACTCACCTAACAAGTCAACAGATGGAACAAAGAATTCCCATTCCTACTGCAGGAAACGTGGTGGCCATCACCAGCTTTGGAAAGACCAAAAGGAACAAGACAGACGCAACACACCCAGACTGTATTCACAACAGACAGGATCAGTGAGGACAGTAGGAAAAGCCAACCTTTCCCAATTACTAGACAAGAATGGAGAAAGAGCGGGGCAGAGGTATTACATTTTACCAGGTGCCTTTGCAAGAGGAGACTCAGGGGTGCAGAAATGAGAGCAAAAGCTCCCTAACACCTTTGAATGGTGCTAGGGAATAACCGAAAGTAGACTGGGTGGGTCATCGCCTCCTACCTTAAATTAATGGCATATCTGCATAGCACAGTGCCAGATGCCCCGGAAATGCCCCTCGCTAATCCTGCCTGATCTCCTCTCAGAGAGAGGGCAGAGACACTTCCTTGTCTTGCTGAAGTAGAGACAGCCTTGGCTGTCATTCATACCACATCTCCTCTTCGGCGCAAGGAGGTGGGGAAGGTCAAAATACTGCAGTTGCAGCTTCATGTCAACCATCCATTCACCTGAAGACTGAGTGCTTGCAGCAAAACATTGTTTTGCATTCCATGTTTGTAAGTGTCAGGGCAAGAAAATACTGCTCACGAGTTACTTCGGAGCTGCTCTCACTTTAAATCCCAAGTGACTGTCAGCGTGTCCCAGTTATCTTCCTTGTTTGCTGATGGAGAACAGGACTGACCCTGTGAAGATGACCACTTAGAAACATGAGAAACACCCATTTTGAGATGGGTTTCCCCATGTCCTCAAGAGTTGCCGCATCTAAACAACTGTAACTCGAGCTCTTGCACTGTCCCGCATGTTTTCACTTGGCTGCCAAGATATCCCAGAGCTTACTTCTGAAACTCTGCTTTCTGTGGGCCAACTGCGGATGCGTAAAAAGCCCAGGGCGAGGGCAGAAGACAGCAACAGGCCTGAATTCAGGAGCAACAAGCACTTCCCTTCCTGAACAGTCCCTAGGGAAGGATAAAGCTCTTTCTACTTTCACAGTCCTCCCTTTTACAAGCGAGACTTCTGATCTCTAGCATAATGTTTTAATGCACAGCGACACCGAACTCAGCAGCAGACAGACTGATGGACTTACTCAAGGCAGACAGCGCTCTAGCTAGTTGTTTGGGAACTTGTTTGTTTGCTTCATGGTATGTTTTAAAGAGAAAAACTGATCAAGTAAGAGGTTATAAAGACAGGAAAATGAAGAGGATGAGGTAGGTTAAAATTGTGAAATGAAACAGAATCCAACTAAATCAAATAGAGTCAGACTTTCCACCTATTTTAACCCTATTTTGTCACCACACCTGTCCTGAAGCTGGTAGCACTGAGCATCCCCTACTGAAGGTGGGTTTAAAGGTCATAGCATGACCAGGAATGAGTGGGAACCACACTGTGCAGTATTTATATGTACATACATGCAGTGAGAGGGAGATACATGCTGATGATGTCCTAGTGAGAAACAATCTTTAGTGTCAAGGGACTATCCAGAGGAGAGTTAAGTGGAAACCTGTCACTGCTGGAGACGGAGACATGTTGCTAAGACCTCAGCCTCCTACAGTTTCCACAGGACCTCGTACAGCAAACAAAATGGATCCTATGCCAAGATACTGTGATCCCACAACTTTTCCTTTGAAGGTAGGCAATTCTGAGTTATAACAGACTCCCCCCCCCTCCACCCAAACCCCCACGTTTGCTGTAGAGGCTCCATCCATCTTATAAAATGTCTTCTTGTAAGTGTTGCACATTTACTGAATGTTATCCATATCATACTTCCTACGAAAATACGTTACCAGAAAATGCTCTTCTGTGGAGAAGCTAGAGAATCAGGGATGAGCACGAACCTGTGGGGATCATCGGGGTCACAGTTTGGTAGAAAGTTAGTGACAGCTTCTGCCACTTCTTCATTTAACAGCACATCCCAGAGTCCATCAGTAGCTAGGATGAGAACGTCATCTGGCCCATGCTCATACTGCAGGAGGTCATAGACTCTCACCTAAGACAAAAAAAAACCCAAGAGACATCCATGAAGGAGGAGACTGTCAGACCTGTTTGTGAAACGTTGCTGAGTTTGGCTGTGAGTTAGCAGGTTTGGCCAGGGCAGTGAAATACCTCTCCCACAGCACTGCTGGGGTCTGTCTCCAATTTAGCCCTCAAGACACCAACCCTTCCTGCCCCAGCTCAGTGCAGCTCAAGTGCTGACCCCAGCCAGGATGGATGCAAGCGTTCCTAAACCAGACTGTAAAGCAGCGCTTGAAGCTTCCCCCGCCTGGCAGCTTGGTTTCAGCGTGTGAGGCTCTTCCCTATCATTGGCAGGACTAGTCATATGGAAGCTGAATAATTTATTTGATGAATTTTTGATGTTTTCTAATAAAATATTCACAAATAATTGTTTTCATTATTTGTCCAGATCCATTTAACTCTGCCAGACATATTGCACATGTTCAGAAACGCCTGTGTCACAGAAGGCATTGCATTCACTTTTCTAGACCTGAGGCAGCTGCTGCACTCAAGAATTATACCTCAGCAAGTGAGCAGTTCCACGAAACGGAGAAAAACTGTTTACCTGCTCATTATCTGTAA